TTATGTATCCATCCGCACGACCGACTTGATCGCGTCGAGCCTTTAACACATTATCCGAATTGGTGTGGATAAACAGATTCAACTTATCCTTTCACGGAAATGAAACACATACCAATTGCTGCATGTAGTCATTTCGTGTACTAAGTAAGCATTTAGCATGCTTTAAAAAAAATGTCTACCCCGAGTTGTGTAATGTTGCCGCTGGAACCTGGCCACATTTCAGGTTGGATACACACTTGCGAGGGTATAGTGATGGCGTCTTCTCAGTCTGGATTGTACTATGCGTGATACCCTTCGAGTGGAGGTAGCGCTGCGTTGAATGTAGCGCAGCCTCGACATCTTCCGCGACGATATGCACACTCAATGACGGCAGTCCAGCACTCAGCGACCAAATGTGCAAATCGTGTACTCCTACCACCGACCAACATCCTCGGAGTCCTAACTCGATTTCCTTTGTGTCGATACCCTCGGGACTCCCTTCCATTAAAATATGGACACTGTCACGAACGATTCCGACCGTCGTAAACAATACCAGTATCGAGAAGATGAACGTCGCGATCGGGTCTGCAATCTGCCATTCCGGTTTGAGCCAAATGATTCCGCCAGCGATGCAAACGCCGATACTCTGAATGAAGTCACCCAAGGCGTGAATATATGCCGACCGGATATTGAGGTTCTCCATGCTCTTTTTTGCCTTCGATTTCCCTTGTCCAGCCTCCAGATCTGTACCAGATGACTGCTTTACGTGCCCATGATCGTGTCTGTGCGAACGCCTTTCTCCATGCGAGTGGCCATGACTTTGAGGTGAAAGGCAATGGTAAATTCCGCCGTTATCACTGGAGTCGACGTCCAACAACTCAATGTCGTGCGTGTGATCATGGATTTCATCTACATGGTCATGCTCTTTATCGGAATGCCCGTGTCCATGCGAGTGTCCATGACTACCAGCCCCGTTGTGCGAATGACCATGGGCACCGCCTCCATGCGAATGACCGTGACCCAGGATTTGCATCAGCACCAGGTTTACCAGTAGTCCGATACAGGCCACGATAAACATCAACTTGCCGTCAACATATGCGGTTGGATTTGGTTTTAAGCACTCGATAAAGCGGATCACCGCTGCGTACACCAACACTCCCGTCAGCACCCAAAGCACCAGTACACTCGTAACAGCACCGATAACTTCCGTGCGTTGGAAACCGTAGCTCAATCGATTGGTAGCCGGGCGGGTGCTCATCCAGATAGCAAACAACGAGATGCAGAATGCCGCCACATCGGTAAGCAAGTGAGCGGCGTCCGCCATGATGGCCAGACTGCCGGCCAGGAAACCACCAACGACTTCAGCGACCATGAAAAAGACGGAGCACACACACGCCAACTGTAGTTTCCGCTGGGCACGCTGGGCGCTATCAGATAGCGGGATGCGGCGTGGTGACTCGATCAAAGCAGCATCTTTTGGTTGGTGACTCTTGGAACACGGACGGAGCAGCGCCCGAGCCCAGCCGAAGGAACTTGTTTTGGTGTGAGACGTGGTCGCCATTTTGGAGAATGGCTTCTGGTGAGCTCTGGAGTGGACGAGCTCAGTCCGTTATCATGTAAGTTG